GCGGGATGCAGCGGTCATGCAGGTCCCCGGCCTCCTTTGCCAGCTCCAGCTTTATCACCCTGCCATGTACTCATCGTATTCAGTATGGCTCAGATCATATAATCATCATATCACTATCTCATCATCGCTATTCTCGTACGCCGTCACATGGCAGTAGTGTAGGTGTATGTACAATTTCTTATTTCTAGGCACTTATAAATGATGCAGGTTGTTCAGACCCCGATTAGGGCTCATCTGGACCACTGCTTCAAAGCAAAGGTTTGAAATGCCTGACAAAGCCTGCTGTTACAAGCTCACATCAGTCATCAGGGTTACTCTTTCAAACAACGAACTGTGCAGTACTAACCAGTTTATGTGTAGCTTCAGACTAATCCTTCTGAAACATAGAGCGTGCGCGCGCCAAAACCGGCTCAGGGATTTGGTGCTTGCTCCCGAACCTGCCCAGCTCGGCAGCTCGCACGGAACAGGAGCAGTCCGAGCAGGTACCGGCCAGGAATTGAAGCCCCGGCCGTTCCTTCCTGACGAAATTCTCTACCCCGTCCCGGCGATCAGTGCCGTGGTGCCTGGTGCGCGACAGCTCCGCGAGACCTACTTCTATTTATGGAGGTGACCACTACTCGGGCGTATCTTGCGCGTACGGCAATCTGCGGCCATGGGCGAGCCAGAGCCTTAACTCCCCGACTAGGACAGGCTGGTTGGTTCAATGTAACAGTGGCAGCTCATCCTTACTCCTGCTGGCATATGACTTGAGCGAGAGGCGTCTCGCGTAAGCGACGGATCAGTTTCCGGGGCCTGCCGCTTGCGCCGTCGCGCCATTGATCGGGAGAGGGATGGGTTATAACTTACCTCTCCGCGTTGTACGACGACGACCGCCGGAGAACGGCCAGGTCCTGGGACGTCACGTCGTCGGCCGGCGAGCGCTTTGCGGTCTCGATAATGCTCCCGCTGAAGTACTCCTTGTCCTCCACAATCTTGGCGCGGTACGACGGTACCTCCACGGCCGCGGACGCCGGCGGGCGGGGCGGGCGGGCGCGGGCGCGGTGGTGGTGGTGGTGCGCGCGCGGCATCACCGGGGAGGCGCGCGCGTCCCGCACCGACACGGACCCGCACGAGATGAGCTGCATCAGCACGGAAGACGCCCTGGCCCGGCCGCTGCCACTGACGGCCGCCACGAAGCGCCCGTCCGCCTTGATCAGCGCCTCCAGCGTCTCGGGGCTCGTCGACGCCGTCGGCGGCGACGTCTCCGCCCTGCTCAGCTCCTCCTGCGCTGCGGGAACCAGGACGCGACTCTGGCTGTGGCCGTGGCCGCGGCCGCCGTCCTCGGTCTGCGTCGCGGCGTCAGCGGCGCGCTCCTCGGCCTTGTACACCACGTACTCGCCGAGGTCAGCCGCGCTGGCGCTCTTCATCCGGTGCGCCGGCCTGCCGTGCGCCTCCCACCTGGCAGAGGACGACGAGGTGGGCGTCTCCTGCGAGCCGGAGGACGACGAGGACGCGGCCGTCGCGTCGAGCAGCGCGGGGGCCACCGGGTGTAGGCGCTCGGTGCCCTTGAGCACGTACTCCCGGCCGACCACCGGGTGGATGTAGTCGTCGTCCGCCAGGTCGTGCCACACGAAGCCGTTCCGGTAGCTCCTGCATTGCAGCGAAATCGCGAGGGACGCATGTCACGGCGTGGTGGGTGCACCACACTAGTTTGCACTTTGCAGCATTGACCAAAACGAGAGAAGACGCCCCGAACCTCTTGGACGCCCATGAGTACATGCGCGCCATCCCTTTGCCTCTCAGCGCGTCGAGCCGGTCGATCACATCTACGCGCACAAAAGCAACGGCAGCACAGAGCAGAACGCTCAGCGCCTTTACAAGGGAAGGCAAAACGCGACGAGAGGCTGCTGGCGCTAGGAAAGCATTCGTATCGTACCTCGGAGGTAGAGGCCGTCGGGGCAGGAGAGCGCGACCTCCATGAAGTGCGGGTGCTCGAGGTGCCCGCTCCTCGCCAGGTAGTAGACGACCGCCGCCCTCACTGGGCGCGGCCTGGGCGGCCTTGGCGGCGCGGCCATCTCGGGGCTCCTGGGCTCCTGCTCCCGCCACTGCAGCTTCACCTGCTCCGCTCTCGCCCTCCTGCCCGCCACCACCACCGCCATGCTTACCAAACCGCCGCGCTCTTTGTCGCTGGCGTCGTCTCGTCGCTGGAGTACTAGCTAGCGAGCTCGTAGTCGTAGCGTTTAAATGGCGCGAGTGCGACACAAGGGAAGGTGCAAAAGAAAGGGGCTCAGAGGCGCAGCGCACACTGCAATGCAGGCATTGAAATCGTGCTAGGACCAGCTTGCACTGCAACCGTAGCGATGTGTTACTGTGTGTGTGACTTGTTGTACACTAACCGAGGTGAAACTGTGGAGCCTGTGACTGTGAAAGGCAACTGAGAAAAAAAAAATTGGTAGAAAACTCTCTGCCTGATCTTGTTGTTTTCTCCTTGGTTCCTCTTTGCATTGGCTCTTGAGGTCAACTAGCTGCTGGAGCAGTGCATTTTTGTATGGCAGGCAGGCCGCCCTTGTGGGTTAATTGCTGCTATGATGGGAAGTGCTGCTGCTAGTACTTATTAACATGACCTTAATTACTGTCGGTGTTGACTAGCTAACGAGGCTTGCCGGGTTGCAAAGACTTCTAGGGTGGTGGAAAAAAATGGCAGCTGGTTTAATTAGCGCTGCCAGTGAGTACTACAGAGCAATTTGTTTTAACTTGCGCCTTTACTCACGAGGCCCATACCACACACACGCGCCTGGGGCATGGCGAATCGACGCTGACCAGACGCGCCGGCGAGGCGAGTCCAAGGCCAGAAAAAATGGCAGAGTCCCGCTGGTCCAAATCCAAGGCCTCTCCACCGCACTGTAAAAAGTGTGTAGTACCTCATGCTTAGACGACTCCCTCCAGAGTCCAGACCGTTCCAAGTTTCCAACGATTTGTTTACTGGCTCTACGTTCTGCTTTGATGTCTGATGCCTGTCTGCGCTGCGCATACAAAAATGATCTTGTGATGTGCATCATGTGAGTGGATCGAGCACGGGTATGCCGCGCCGATGTTGGTAACATTTGGAAGCATTTGCGTGCAGGGGAAGGCTGCAATCCCTGTCCTGCCCACTTGGGGCCTCCGAGTTCCAACCCGCTGCTCTGCCTGCGCTCCTCTGCGTATACTTGCATTGCATGGGAGAAGATGGGACAAGTATACTACCTAATCCGAGCCACGTGAGAGAGAGGAGGGGCCACCAGAGACCACGTTTATACGCTAATCAAAGCCGTTTAGGATTGGGCCTCCGGTGCCCAGTGGCCCACCTCTCAGCCGCTCCCTGGGCAGTTGAAATCACACCGGAAAATTAACCCACCAGGCGGAGTATTTATATTTACTGGCGCGGGGGACAGGCGGTGAGGACAAGCGGGAGGCTCCACCGGCTACGGGATGAGACGAGACGGCAGTGCCGCGCCAGGTGCGGAAAGTGAGAGCGCACGACGGGCGGGCGGCGACACCGGGGAGGAGGGGAGCTACAGCTACCGGGGCGCGCGGGGGATCGCGACTGCGTTTGACCCACGGAGACGGAGACGAACGGGACGGGTCGGTGCGGACGCGCCACCGCGCCGGGCCGTTCGGGCGTCGAGATCCGCGCGCGGCTCGTCGCGCTGCTCTCCCGCGTGTGGTGCGCGCGCGCTTGTTTTCGCCTTTTCACAGAATTCCTCGTCTTTACCGCGCCCCGGTAAGCGTAGCGCACTGATTAACCGCCGTGGCCAGTGGAGCTCTCTGTCAGGCGAGCAATCGATGGCTCGCGTTCACGCAGCCGGTCCGGTATCCTGCATTGCTGTCCAGAGAAGCTCATCGTACTGGACGCCGACGCATGTTTCTTCTTTAATTTGGAGGATGGCAGATTTGGCGGAGCCAACGATGCTAGGTCGGTAGGAGCAGAAAAATACAGGTAGTCCTGCCTTACCTTACCTGGCATGTGATTTAGAGCTTGGGAAAAAAAGTCCACATCCGTCTCCATGCAGGAAAAAACCAGAGTTATTGTTTAGTGCGGTGCGTTGGTGAGAAGCTGGAAGCTTGTGGCGCGACCGCGCGAGTCTGCAAACCGACGCGTCGGAGACATGCAACGTGTCGTCCGATCTTTGCTAGAGTTTAAGAACTGCAGAAACCGACGAGGCCTCAGTCCGAACAGAGCTGGAGTCGTGCACCGTCATAGATAGAGCTCGATCGAATCGCCAGGGTCACGGAGAGTGTACTCTTGCCGCTGATCCGTTTGCTTTCTGCTGCTGCGCGCCTTTTCTTCACGTACCGCGTCGGTCCGGCACGCCGCCGTGAAGAGAGAGAGGACGGGAGGGATGGGAATGCGATCGGTTTTCTTCGATGCGATCCGGTACAGCAGTTGCAGAGAACATGCGTCAGCCGTGCACCGTTGTAGCAGGAGATCATAGTGGAGGTCGGAAGTCGGACGTCGGACGGGACAACGTGCGAAGAGAGTACTGCCTTTTTTTTTTTGAGCGAGCGAAGAGAGTACTAGTGTACTACTGTGTTGAGTTGAGATCACCCAACGCCTTTTCTGATTGTCCTGTTTGGGCCAAGTGGTCTACACAAACCGCGTTTAGTTGACAGCGGCCCAAAAGCCGAAACGCACTAGGACTCATGGGTGAAGTGAGTGAAGGCCCATGAAGCTCCATCCAAACACCGGTCATCAGGCCGGTTCGACCCATGAGTCGAACGGCAGTCGAGCCCAGCGAGATCGCAGAGAGTTCCGTCCGCACCGAGCCGGCTCGCAAACCCCTCACAACCCTCGCGGTCGCCGGCTGCTCGCCTGCTCCTCCTCCCCGCCGTCGCCATGGGTAAATTCCGCAAGCTTGGCCGCGATTACTCCCACCGCCTCTCCTTGCTCAGGTCTTGCTTTTAACCCACATCAACGCCTCTATCCTATGGCGCTAGCCTCTACGTTGCCTTGCCCCTGACGAAAAAATTGCAAAGGCAGGACGATGGTGTCGCAGCTGGTCAAGCACGAGCGCATCGAGACCACCCTCGCCAAGGTACTTTCTTTCGCATACTGGTGTTTCTTCGAGCAGGGGCCTGTGATGGCGCGGGCGGGATTTGTGTTCCAGGAGGGGTGATCGTTGAATGCGTTTCCTTTGCCGTGGTTCGTTTCAGGCGAAGGAGGTCCGGCGGAAGGCGGATCAGATGGTGCAGCTAGGGAAGGAGGTAATTGGAACACAAGTCCCCTGATGCTAATTGAATTCCAGCGTGAAATATCGGGGCATTTCGTGGTATCCTTGAATCTATGCAGGGCAGTGGCTGTAAACAACCTAGCAATCATTTTGGAGATGCTTCTCCACATGGTCTGTATGCATTGCTGCCTGAATTGGAGCTGGACACTATTGGCCACTCATTGTCTGATTACCACTTTAGAAATAATGCTTCCTGTCTATTTGTTTGACACTATGATTCATTGAAATCTCAATGGACACTTATAAGTAGTTTCTTTTCCACCTCTTTTTAAGCAAAGCAATGTTTTAAGCAATCAGACCAACTGCTCAGGTTCGCCTCCAGGAGGCTCCGCCAGTGCCCTGAAATTGTTTATTTGATTAATCAATTCAGCTGTGCAATTGTTTGAATAGATGGTTGGGTTCTAATTCTTAAAAGAGAGGATAGATTGACCGCATTCCTTCTCCATCTGTGCGAAGGGTGGCAACAAATTGAATTGATTCACTGGCTGCGTGGGAGACGTTGGTGGGCACCAGGGTTCCTCATTGTGAAGGGCAAGCTCGGCGTGGAAGGGAACTCAGTGCAGAGGGCAGTCTTGCCATGCATGGGAGCTCAACGCGGAGGACAAGCTCGCCGTGGGAGAGATCAACGTGGAGGGAAAGCTTGCTGTGAAAGAGACCTCAGCATGGAGGGCAAGCTTGCCATCAAGGAGGAGCTTGGCACGGAGGGGAGATGGGACTAGGATCTCAGCACGAAGGGCGAGCTTGACCCCGACAGGGATCTCACATTCGAGGACAAGCTTCCCACCAATGGGGAGCTCAGCGCCAAGGAGAGCCAACCGTACCGACAGGGGATAATGCGGTCGGTGAAACAGGTGGATTAGTCTCCCGTGAAATGAGATTTTGACCGACTTACCTCATGTGTGCAAAATGGCGAATCAATTCACTGTGATTCCCACATGGAGCCGACAGAAGAAAATGCTTTCGACGGGGATTTGCTAGTTTCTCAAAGGAATCAGCGGCAAGAATCTGTGTCAAAGGAGCCCTTAGTCATGGATTGAACTTTTTTTGTGGACAACTAGTAGTTCTAGATATGTTATTCTTTTGTCAGAACCAGAAAAAAAAATTGTCCCAGAGGTGTATGCAATAGGCATATGATTTAGAGCCCTATGCCCTTCCTTAGAAGCTTATTTGCAACTCAAACTTATTTTTATCTGTCCTGGGTCTTGTTTTGATTTTTGGTGACTTGATGTCTCGAAGCAAACAATGCAGAAACTTATATCATATATTGACACAATATGTAGGGTACTGAGCATGCAGCAAGATGTGCTGCTGCTTTTGTTCGGGGTGATGATGTCGTTCATAAGCTATTCACTGAGCTGACCGCTACAGGTAATCTGTTTTGCCTACACATGGATTCACACAATTTACTGTATCTGCATTCGATTTGTTACTAGCCCTTTCAGAATTGGTGTGATGTTGTCATTTTGATGTCTGAAATAGGCAATGAGGCATAAGGAGGAGAACAACTATAGTACAATATTTAATGTATATTACAGAACCTTTAGTTCTAGCAATAATATGAAGATTTGGGCATTAAAAACTTTTACTATTCATCTAAAAGTTGTATAATGGTTTGTATGATAACACAAATGTGAAAAATAGAATAGAATGCCATGTATTTGCAAGCAGAGTGGATTGGAACTAATTGTATATTCTTATATTCCAGAGATCGAGCTGGCGGATACACAAGAATGTTAAGAACCAAGATACGTACTGGTGATGCTTCAGCAATGGCATACATCGAGTAACATTCTTTATCTATTTCTTGGAGACCAACTTCCCACAGGGTGTTATAGTTTGGTGCTTATTGCAAGTTCATTGTTCCTTACTACTTCCTTTAGTGAAAGGAGACGACTATATATTTCTAGCCAAGTACACCCTCTGTTTTTAAATATATGACGTTTAGGACAAGCTAATTAGTTTATTTTAGCATGCCCTAAACGTCAGATATTTAAAAAAATGGAAAGAGTAATTGGCTTTTCTTGACATTGTTACATCCAAATAGTTCAATATGAATCAGACTGCGGTAACCCGTCAAATGACTTATAGCAGATTCCTTGTAGACGTGTTTATCCGTTATGTCATATGCAGGTTCGTGGACAGGGAGAATGAGCTTCGAGTGCAACACCGCCGCCGCCTCAACGAGTTCCTCTTGATCCATGGACCAAGTCACGTGCTAGCCAACAGTTTCAGTTATTCCTAAAATCACCAAGACCTCGGAATCACACGGCTTGTGAGCTATTGTATCGATGTTCCATAGAAAGTTTCAGTTATTTTGCTTTAGTCGCAGGAGATTTTTTTTTTTCTCTGGAGATAACTGCCGATAGAATAATTTCAAACTTTATTGTCGTATTGTATGCTTCTAATTCACCAATTGAAGATTGCAAGGCTGTCCACAGAGGAAGCTTGGAACGAGAGTGATGTATCTGTGTTTTTCTTATTGCAGTTGTAACAGAGCTATTCCGATTCGTGTATGCATCAATCCATCAGTCCTGTGTCCGTGGATCGTTATCGCAGTTTAGTTTCTGATGCTGTCTTTCACCATTAATAAACCTCAACTGTAGTTTGTTGGGTTGTGTTTTCCTTCTGTGCTCCGGATCGCAGTTTACTGGCGTCAGATTTAGATCGAACTGTGGGCGTCAGTATATCCTACTCTGCCCAATCCCAAGCGGGATATACTGCAGTGCATAGCTTGAGTATGGGACCATGCAATAAGCAATGAGCCACTGATCAGATTAAAAGATTTATGATATAAACAAATGAGCCATAAAAAACATAGAGACCCAATAGAGAACAGATTGAAACAAGCACCAACAATTTGACTGATGCAAAAGAGTTTGTTCCAAATAGACCATAATATTCATCATTGCATATATTTTACCTGAACTGTGAAGACCGCTGCCTGCACATCCGCGGCGTGCAGCCCCCACCCCTTGTGCAGGTGGCGCACGACGCGCAGCTGCACAGCGACGCCGCGCTGAGTCCGCCGGCTCCCACATGAGGGCGCACACGCGCAGCCGTCGCCGCACTCCCTGAGGGCTGAGGCTCCCCATCCCGGCCTCCAAGCCCGGGCCCGCTGCGTCGGCCTCCACATCGTCGCACGCGCACGGGGTACCGCCGCGGCGTACGCGCACCCAGTACGTGTACGTCGAAATCCTGAGGGGGCTCCCCAACTCATCATGTGGTAGTCGTGCAGCGCCCAGTGCCCACGACGGACTGCCCTGTCACTCGCGCGGAACTTGCTCGACGGAATGCCGCACCGGGACGTCGTCTCTGCCACGGCCGCCATCGGCGCGCTTACCCGCCTCGGCCGACACCGCGACGCCCTGGCACTGTTTTCCCAAGTGCTCGCCGACGGCGTCGCCCCCAACGAGTTCACCTTCGGCACCGTCCTGCGCTCGGCCACCGCTCTTCGAGCCCCGCGCGTCGGCGTGCAGCTCCACGCCTGCGCTGCCAAGGTCGGTCTCTGCTCCAACGTTTTCGTCGGCAGCGCCCTCCTCGACCACTATGCGAAGATGGGCGCTATGAGGGAGGCCCAGGGCGCGCTCGATGACACCCGTGAGCCGAATGTGGCCTCCTACACCGCCCTCATTGCCGGTTTGCTGAAGAATGGGATGTTTGATGAAGCAGACCGATTGTTCCACCGCATGCCAGAGAGGAACGTGGTCTCCTGGAATGCGATGATCGGCGGGTGCAGTCAAGCCGGTCTGAGCGAGGAGGCTGTCAATCTGTTCCTGGAAATGTGCCGAGAAGGTGTCACACCGAATGAGAGCACCTTCCCCTGTGTGCTCACTTCTGTTGCCAATGCAGGGGCACTTGGCGTTGGCAGAAGCGTTCATGCATCAGCCATCAAGTTCTTGGGCAAGCTTGACGTTTATATAGGTAATTCTCTTGTGAACTTCTATGCCAGGTGCGGTAGCTTGGAAGACGGTGTTTTGGCTTTCAAAAAGATGAATCGGAAAAACGTGGTCTCCTGGAACGCACTCATCTGCGGGTATGCACAGAATGGGAAGGGGGAGGAGGCTTTGGATGCTTACAGGATGATGAGAGCAACGGGCCTCAAGCCAGATAATGTCACTCTTCTCGGCTTGCTGTTTGGTTGCAACCATGCTGGTCTGGTTGATGAAGGTTATGCATTGTTCAAGACCGCAGAGACGGAGCAACCTGGCATACTGAAACCTGAGCATTATGCTTGTGTGGTTGATCTACTATCTCGTGCCAAGCGGTTCGACGATGCCAAGAGGTTTCTTGACGAGCTCCCCTTTGAGCCAGGCATTGGGTTCTGGAAGGCTTTGGTAGGGGGCTGTCAGATTCACTGGAACAGGGAGCTGGCTGAGAGCGTTGCAAAGCGCATTCATGCATTGGATCCAAAGGACACATCTTCCTACATTCTTCTGTCAAATGTTTACTTTGCGTCAGGAAGCTGGCAAAGTGTGTCTATGATCAGGAGGGAGATTAAGGAGAAGGGGATGAAGAGGATCACCGGCTGCAGTTGGATTGAGGTCCAGGACAAGGTCCATGTCTTCTCCAATGGAGACTGTAGGCATCACCAGAGTGATGAAATTTATTCGATGCTTGAAGCGTGTTTTTATTCCATGGAAGATGAGCATGACCACTCAATTGTGTGACAGTGACAAATCAGTATCCAAGAGGCTATTGGTAAATTTGTTTGTTTGTCAATTGTCATCGTCTTTTGAAGTGAACCTTACATGAGGAACACACCAGACCAGACTGCACTTCAGTGTTGCGTAATGGAAGAATGAATAATCAGATTTCAGCCTTCATCAATGCACAATGCATTGCGGTAGCAGCAATAAAGACGAGAACAAAGGTGAGCCTCCTGTCAGGTGCATGGTGCCACAAATCGTCCAAACTCCAAAAACAACAAAGCATTATATTGTCCTGACGAATAATGAAAATTAGCCCCGAGGCAAATATTGCCTTAAATCATATCAGATTTTGCATAGCCATGGCAGCTGATTTATTAACCGTTCCTTCTCTAACATTTCTGTGATAAATATTGTTTACCCATGAGCAATTTATAAACCCCTGAGCACATCACATCGTCCAGGACAACCATCCCCGGGCAATCACAATTCAGACGCGAGGGGTAAAAGATTGGCGGTTGTCCCAAATTTAAACAGCACCGAATGATACAATAACGCCAAAATTGACAACCACGAGATTTGAAGCAAATTATATTAGCACGCTTGCAATGTATTAGAAACTTCCACAAGGGTACCTGATTCATCATTCAGCAGATACAACAAATTCTACATTGTTCCACGAGCAACCTAGCAGTGGCCTAAACGAGGAAATAGGACCGTAGCACCCTGGGGCGGCAACCTAAGAGGAAGTAAACTTGGTAACAGCCTTGGTGCCCTCGGAGACTGCGTGCTTGGCGAGCTCGCCGGGGAGGACCAGGCGCACCGAGGTCTGGATCTCCCGGGAGGTGATTGTGGGCTTCTTGTTGTAGCGGGCGAGCTTGGCGGCTTCGGCGGCGAGCTTCTCGAAGATGTCGTTGATGAAGGAGTTCATGATGGACATGGCCTTGGACGAGATACCAATGTCCGGGTGCACCTGCTTGAGCACCTTGAAGATGTAGATCTTGTACGTCTCGACGCTCTTCTTGGCCTTCTTCTTCCCCTTCTTCTCGCCGCCCTCCTTGCCCGGCACGCGC